GAATCGGAAGCCCTTTGTGAAATCTAATTCTACGCAAACATTGAAAGTTTTATGTAAAGACTGCTATTTGTTTGTACATATGTAGGAATTGAAAGAAACTGAGCTGTATATCGCACAATGAATGCTTTCTGGAGAAATTTTCAGTACACGACTGTAGTAATAAGACTTGATATCTAAGAAAAGCTGTGTTGAAACACATTAGTGGAAGAACACTCTATCTTATAATAGCGAAAATCTTTCCTCTATTACCGAGCTTCAATGTCCAGTTGCAGTAGACGCGTATTTTTTCACTATCTCTCTGGTGGACTCTTCTTCCACCATCAAGAGTCCCTTGCTTACCAAATGAGCTAGTCCAAAAGGTTCCTTGTAAACTATTAAATGCAGAGAATACTTTTCCACAGATGACGTCCGCTGCTACATCAATGCTAGATAAGCTATCAAGCAATTGCAAAACCTACAGTAAAAGAAATGTTCGTCAAAATAAGTCGTTGGGAAGAAAACGACCTCCATATGTCATTTCAGCCATGATGTGATTTCGCAAATGACTCCTATAGAGGTAACGCAGTCGCAAGTGTGTTAAATCCAATACTATGTTCCTCGTGTCTCTGTCCAGCATACTCTTTCGTGCCTTCAAGATACTCCAACTCTATGGTTCTTTCGCAAGTTAAAGCTTAATGGCGAATCCGAATGGAAGCTCCTCTTCGACAGTCTAAAGCCCAAGTGGTAAGTAAAAAACAAGTAGCTAGCAGTTTAAACAAGATTTTATCACAAATATTTATTCAGTGCGTCATATTTCAATGATACTTCTACTGAACTGCCGATTACTGTACAATGTAAAAATTCACTGCAAATAATTCTACAGATTTTTTGTCGTACCTAAGCTACAGGAAGAGTGGGCACAACGCGATATCAGGAGAAATTAGATCTGAAGGAGTTAAGAGTATTAGGGAATAGCTGAAACGATAAAAACACTGATGAGCCATAGACTTCTTCCCAACATCATATTGGCAACATTAAAACGGCACTTGAAGTTTAGGATAACCATGAATTGTTAAGAACGAACAATTAGCGATTCGCGTTCAGCACCAACGCCAATCCACCTAACGGGTACCTGAAAAACTATTTTTATGGTTCATTATGAAATAAAACACAGAACACAACAAAGATAAAGCATATATTGATTTTAGTGATGCCATGTAGTACGAGAAATAGTAATTTGACCGACGCCTCTGCGCATCAAGCTTTCCACCCTTCCATTGTCGGCAAATAGGCAGAGTTGTCTGGGATCAACTCATTCCTTTCAGTACAAAAAAACTTAGCGATTGCCGGTTATACAGACTGGAAACGGACTCGCTTGGCTACTCAAGGATTTCTGTGAGAACTCATTCGCCGGCTTTTAGTGACCTTCATAAAGAAGACGAAAATCCTTATCCAGCAGCCGAATCTAAACCAAACGTTCGCGGATCATGGTAGCGAGGGAAAGAAACGAATGCAAGGAATCCTAGGATCTGTACATGTGATTTCGAGTTGTGTAAGAAAACCACACATAACATAACAACGTTTGACATAAAAAATAAAAAAAAATCGTTGGTTGACTTATGACCACCTTCCAAATCTAGCAACGACCTCATAGAGAATATTTTCTACCTCTATTTCTTCACGAATATTTCTCGTACTACTTGCAAAATCCTTCTCCCTATCTAGCTCATGTACTAGAGGCTCCGGAAGCTGATGCACCTTCCAACCCACATTTTCAAAGGGGCATTCCTCATCTCTGAACGAATTTTAACAATAGGAATAAAAAACATTAGCATCTACACATTTCTGTTAACGCAAAATAAGTGCATTTACACCAGCCAGACAAAATGTGGACATGTGTAGGCGACGAAGCCTTTGAAAGCACGTTCAGCTTCGGCTTCATTTGCAAAGCATTTTTCGTGCAAAGCTCTCAAAATACTTGCAGAAGTGGCTATCGGTTGCCAGCCGATCAGGCGGAAATAGTGAATAAGGCAGAATTTCGCAGTCCAACTCGTGAAACATTAGCAGCGTCGGTAGTGCCACTTGTGGCAGCGCGTTTTCGTGAAGACGGATTAGTCCGTTTCCACTGACCAATTCAGGGATAAGCCGTTAAAGTTTTTAAAGCACCTCTTCGATTTGCTGCACGTGGTTTGTAGTCGTAATTGTCTTGCCACGATCCAGAACGCAGTATTGATTAAACCAGGAACAAATCTCCAAATGGTCAGCATGATCCTCCTTTGATGCAAATTCAGCTTTGAAAGTGATATAGCGCTCCATCACGTTCCATGTACTGAACCGCCGACTATCGCCGAACAAACCAAAGCAAGGTCCACAGTGTTACAGTAGGTAACACATGAACCCCCGGGAAAGGTAATCGAGGCTCCGAATATAGCCTTGGATACAACTTTTGCAAACATCTCGGCATCATTGTGCTTGTATTAGGAAACAAATCAAACGTCTCAGACTGACGAGTTAAGCAGATTTACCGACAGCATACAGACATTCACACCAACGAGCCACACACTGCCACAAGAACATAAAACTCCGTTTCAACTGTGAGAAATCATGACACACCAAGCAAAAAACTGCAAATAGGACAAACAAATAGAGAATGAATGAACGTAAAGAGGAATCGGAACTTACATCAAAATGCTAATCGAAATTTTACTAGCTACTTGATATAAAGGAGAGATTTTGCAAAATATGTACTAAATATGTCTTCCAAAACAATGTCAACCAATTCGAGACCAGTGGAGATCTAGTAAACCTTGCAACGCAAAAAGAAGAAGAAAAGCAACAGATAAGCAAAAAGCAATATGCTACCGATTAACAAAGCGCACCGTAAAAACGTAGTCATCTTCCAAGTGTTTATCACAAACACACTTCCAACCGCCAACTTCTGGATGGATAAGCTATGACGTCCTCAAATTAAAATCTGGAGTACTACTCGGAGTTCTACAAACAGTTAAAGTGAACTTATACGTGAGCTGGTCGTTCTCTCATAAGGAATTCCCCAATAATCTCAACGTAGAAAATCTTCACTCCACAAAATTGATTACTCATAAATTTTGTATTCACCACAGTTATGGAGTGCTCATGATAAACCACACGAAACTAACCAACTATAGTCGAGAAAATCAGAGAACCATTACTTCTCACCAGGATATACTTGTACGGAAAAATCACACACATCAGTGAAGAAAACCATCAACTACTCGATGGTGCTCAAAATCCTTATTCTTCTGCACTGCGTGGCAGAGTTTAGCTGATCTTATTCTTTTCCCAGAAATGTGTAAAGACAGCATGTCCACTTATGCAAATCCCGTGTCGTACACGAAACCATATATAAGCATGGAAAAATGGAAATTACAATCTCTTAAAGAAAGTTTTACCATCTCAAAGCATGAACGGAATTCATTTGAAATGGCAACAACCCACGTTACTCACTCGGTGTACACAGTGATACGGCATTGCACTCCAGTAAAGGAGATCGTAATATTGCCCAATTGCGAAAAAGCACTCAGCACGGAAAGACCAGATAAAATAGTTGAGTCAGCAGTACCAATGAAAACACTTATAAAATAATATGAAGAATCGCCGTGACGCTACAAAAGCTTGTCCTCCAGAGACCACTCCCTATCCTATACACAGTACTCTCTACCATAGTATTTTTAGCTTTATCACATACTATCATATACGTCTCATGTTATTTGTATAAAGTTTTGCGTAGTACTGCGTTTTGCGCACAACAACCTGGTTACAGGTTATAGCACGTGGAGAACATGGAAATTATTACCTCGCAAGGAATTTCTATTTCTGCAAACTACGTTTTCTACACTATTTGCCTAATGTCCCACAAAGTCAACTTCACATGCGTAGAATACGCTATCACAGTTAGTTTATGTTTTCGACACAGAGATGACAAGAAAGTGCTCATAATATCTTTGTACAACAACATGTACGCAATTGCAACAACACTGCCAAAGAATGGTGATAGTTGCTGCAGCTCCAGTTCCCGGTTGATATCCTAATTTCGCAGTCTGGCGGCTTCCGATCCATTCCACTCTTGTCCATTCCAGAATAGATTATTCTTGACAGCACTCACTCATCATCTTGCATCGTGGATGTATTGAAGCTATTCTCAATTCCTCATATACATGTTGGACACTATTATTATAGCTACCAAGGTCCTGCTATCATATTTATACACAAGAGTTTACTTACCCAAAGTTGAGGTTCTATGCAGTAACCTAGTGTAAAAACCTCATGTTCCAATTTATTCGAAGAAGAGCATTCAACTCTGAGTCGATGGACATAGGAGGAAACCGTTCAACTCAACTAGTCTATACTGCACTGTAGCAATTGATACACAGTGTTACTGTGCAGTCAACAGCTAGCAAACGACCTAGCAAACAAAGCCATCACATAGGGTGTAAGTTTACGGAAGATAATGGGCCATATACAGCTAACAGTATTTAAATAGTTTACAAAACAAGCAAATTTACTGTCCATGAAGAACAAACATAACCACTCCGTCACTCGACATAGCAGATAAAAAAGGATGAAAGCTCCGGGGTCGATCAATCCCTGAGGGATAAGCCATGCGTTCGACTTCATCAAGTATCATTAGAAGTGGGTGGATGCATGCCTGGCCAACACAATGACTGGTAGATAGCCTACCTATGTATCAAATCAGTGTTGCTAATCTCCTAGGCAAGTTTGATATCAATCTGCGGACCCAGAAGGGACGGAAGGCTTTGTCAAGCAGAGGTGTGGGATAGAACCAAAAACCATGTCTGCATCGTAGCCCAGCGTTGAGCACTGTGGTACAGCCCCAATTATGCAATTTACGAAGACACATGTATGTGCTAGAAAATTACATTGAATTATATTGAAGAGGTGTTCCACCTAGGAGTATACGTTTCTCAAAATATCTTAAACTTCTACCATAGCTACTGCTTATATTTGAACTTCCAGTAGAGTTAACACAAAAAACCCTTAAGTCGAAAAGAAACTCCAACGTATAAAGTTCACGTATAAAATGAATACACTTTATAACGACATACCTCAATGAACTTCTCAATGAACAACACATAATCGCGACACCTGGCTGGTAGGTCGTCCCATTTTCTTACGTGAGCAGTCGGTTGTTCCCATCCGGGGAATACTCGATACTCAACTTCAATATGGTCCCACGCTATTGCTTGCGCTGTAAATTGTAAACAACGCACAGGATTTTAATGTTTATTCAGAACATTAAGTGGTGCCAAATTCGAAATTCACTGTCGACTACTTTGAGACACATATTTTGCCAAGTCGTATTCAGTTTATATTCTCGGTTAGGTGTAAACACCGGCAAGAAATTTGTCAGTTTCGATATATGGTGCAATAATGGAATGCACTCCTATGTATTGTGCACCCTCACGTATCGAATATATTGACTTCGATACTTGGACGGCCCGTCCTCACTATCATTGTAGTTTCCTGGAGAGCAGAGGTCAGGCTAGCCAATGTGCGCTCCAAGTCGTCATGACCACAGGCAGTCGCCGCTTTTGTGGATTAGAGGGAGATTTCCTCCCATGCGACTAGCTTGATACCACGACACTGGTGGATACTGGTATTGGTTTACTATAAGCTAGGCTTCCTGACGGAAAAGCTAGACTACTTCCCAGTTTCGGAGACCTTCCCAGGGAGACGATTCCCCCGCTGTACATCGCCGCCCAACACGCAAGAACACATCTCAGCCACGATGGGGCGGTAAACCGTAGGGAGGATCGGATATATATTGCTCGTATAGGATATACAACACAAATCGGGAAGAACTGACCTGGTGGAGCACTGAGGGATTCGCCATTCAAGCGGTACCCTACGGCGACTTTTATCTCTCTGAATGAGTCTAGAATATCCAATTTTGTCAGCGCTAGCGCCGTATACCCATTGATTTGAGCACTACGACGTAGCAAAAACAAGTCAAGCCAGCCGCATCTAAACGGAATCTTTAGAGTTTGTAACAGATAGGAAATATTTAATGTAAAACACTGACCTCCTCTTCCTACCTGTTGTGACACCAACTTCTTTTCCGATTGACTGAAGTTGCTCACCAACTTCGTCTTTCAACTCAGTGGGAAAGGGACCAGTGCCTACCCGGGTCTGATACGCTTTTACAACGCCGAATACCTTATAACGAAACAAAGATATTATTAAAAAAAGAGAGCGAAATTTGAGATTCGTAAGCATAATTACCACAGACTTGAGAAATTGCGGTGGGAGGTATTCCAAGCCCAGTACAAGCACCACCAGCAGTGGCATTTGAAGATGTTACATATGGATAGGTCCCTAAACAATAAACGTCGAACTTGCAAACAATGCTGTTAAAAAACAATGTGTAAAGAAGTACAAACTACGCGAAATATAAAATGAAACTTGCCGAAGTCAATATCCAACAGGGCTCCATTAGCCCCCTCGATTAATACTGAACGACCTTGCTTTAGCAGCGCGTGAATGTGCCCTACGGTATCGCCTACCAGTTTGAAGGAGATTAGCTTAGAACGATGTTCCTAAACAAATGTATTTAAATAGAATAAACAATTGTCACTATAAGTGAGTGGACTACAAAGTAGGCACCTTGAATCGCGCAAGTTCAGCCGCAGTGTCCAATTCAATTGATGGAAATTGTTTTTTATAATGTTCAACAAGACGAAGATACCTATAAATACGCCATTAAAGGATAAAGCTCTCGGCTTTGATAAATCCTTACGGGATGCGCCTGCATACGACTTCATTAAGCGTTGTTAGAAGTGAGTGAATGCATATCTGGCCTAGAAAATACGCTTGTGGTGGCCTACCGGTACATCGAGCCAGTGCTGCTAATCTTCCAGACAAACCTGGTACTAATTTGCCGAACCTAGAGAGATGGAAGGCTTGGTGGGCCTGAGGCGCCAGATTAACGTTATGTGTAATGCGGAGCGCCTCTAACCACTGAGCTACACGAACACCTATATCACACTGCATAAATGTAAAATGATGAAGTGGTCAGCATTTATTTGTCCCTCAGGGATCCACCGTACATTCGAATTCGTTAGACGCCGTAGACATATGACCACCTATGGTATAGTACTGGATAAACTTTGAAATCACCCATTACAACTGTTAAAACGTATCGGGCATGCCATTCCTAAGTATAGAAATTGCCCTCTCAGCGAATAAGTGTTCCTTTCTGAGAAGAAGCAGACAGGAAAAATAATGCAATTCGTCAACACTAGCTAAACTATGACTTATTAAAGGGTGAACCGACGACAATATGAGTATATTATGTATTGGGAGAAGCGACAGATTTACAGCGATTTCAAAATATTTAACGTTTTGTTTTCTGCCTTCTATAATTTTCATGGCAAGTTACTAAGCGAAATACAACCACAACGTTGCTGAGATATTTGCAAAACTCTGGACCGCAGGTGTCTATGGTGGGGAACGAACGCGCTATTATCCTTTCCGGGGAGTAACGCGTTCACCACCACACCATGCGGGTCCTTTGTTTCGCACGTCTCTCAGCTATTTCTATAGATCTTTTTTTTAAAAAAATTATAGAAGGCAGAAAACAAAACGTTAAACATTGTGATTTCAACTGCATCCATAGCTTAACTGGGTTCTATGCCGATTTGCGCTCCCCAGATCAACCCCGCTGACGGGTGATTGCTGTGGCAAAAAGATCGATAGAAGTAGCTGAGAGACGTGCGAAACAAAGGACCCGCATGGTGTGGTGGTGAACGCGTTACTCCCCGGAAAGGATAATAGCGCGTTCGTTCCCCACCATAGACACCTGCGGTCCNTGCCATGAAAATTATAGAAGGCAGAAAACAAAACGTTAAACATTGTGATTTCAACTGCATCCATAGCTTAACTGGGTTCTATGCCGATTTGCGCTCCCCAGATCAACCCCGCTGACGGGTGATTGCTGTGGCAAAAAGATCGATAGAAGTAGCTGAGAGACGTGCGAAACAAAGGACCCGCATGGTGTGGTGGTGAACGCGTTACTCCCCGGAAAGGATAATAGCGCGTTCGTTCCCCACCATAGACACCTGCGGTCCAGAGTTTTGCAAATATCTCAGCAACGTTGTGGTTGGATTTCAAAATAAACCAAAAAATATAAGCTACTGAAGTCTCAGTTGTAAGACAAACCTATAACTGTCGCTACTTATCGCTAGAACAGCTTTGGTACGTTTTGTACAGTATTTAGAAAACGTAAATTAAAGAAAATTTCCATAAGAATAGCCTATTTTATAACCAGACAACAAACACATTCTTAATTTCGACAAGTCTCGGAAGAAAAGAGCTCAGACACAGCAACTAATCTTCCACCACTGTTATAAGACGTCTGTTTTCCAGCACCAGCTTTTATTTAGCATGTGACATAAGGTTGACAGTTATAACCACACCGTTACCCATTCATTTCTGCGTAGCTCTACCTCTATACCTTTAAGTTATCTACAACGACATCGTTATCATGAAGGTAGAAAAGTTTACCACTAAACTATGAGAGCAATCCTTGCTCTGGGTTCAAAATAATTCTAACGTTTGAACATTATTTCACTGCAAAATCATTCGCACTTGGAATATAAGATTAAACAATTAAAAAAAAAAACACCTCTCAGAAAAAGCATCGAAATCACCAAGCAGGTCGGCAACACGTATCCCGTTGCGAAAACATTTCGACGAATAGGTGGGTCCTATACCCCGATGAGTTGTACCAATTTTGCTAGAAAGAAAAAATTCAACTGATTCTCTAGAAACATCTAGTTGCAGAATAACTACATTAACATTTTAACCTATTCGCAGAGGCGCTAGTTGTTCAAAAAGCGGCAACTGCAATTCATGCGTTGAATCTAATGCCTTAACAAAACTCCGGAACGAAAATGTCTACGATGGTAAACGAAAACGCTATTACCATTTCCGGAACCTAATGAGTTTACCACAACACCATACGTGTCCTTCATTTCCTCTGACTCTCAGCTACCTTTCTATCGACCAGTGCCATCAGCAATCACCCGCTGAACCCAGTTAAGCTGAGGCTTCACTGCCGATTTGTGCACCCCAGATCAATCCCGTAGGCATTGAAGCCTTAGTTTAACTGGGTTCAACGGGTGATTGCTGATGGCACTGGTCGACAGGTAACTGCTTTTAGTTACTTTTTTACAGTTTTCAGAAGGCAACATGCACTTCTTATAAGCACAACTTCGCAAAAAAACACTTCAAAACAAAACAAAAAACAAAAACACAAAAAGCACTTTGACCCGGATGGTGTAGTGGCGAAGTGCGCTGCTCCCCGGTAAGGACAACAGCGCGTGTTCGTTCTCCATTGCATACACCTGTGGTCCGCAGTTTTGCAAATATCTCAGCATTTCATACGAGTTATATCTCGCAACATAACCTGCCATTAAGAAGAAAAAGGCAGTAAATAAAAGAGTTAAGAATGCAGATATATTTTTATATAAATAGAACTAGCTGAGAGACAAGCGGAACGAAGGACCTGCGTGGTGGCGGTGAACGGATAGCTTTCAGAAAGGGTAACAGCGCATTCGTTCGCCACCACAGACACCTAAGGCCCGGAATTTTGTGAATATCTCAGCATCGTTAATTTTGTATTTCACATAATACTCTGCTGTGAAAAACTGTACTAGGCAGCAAATAAAAACTTACCATTGCATTAGGTTGGAAATAGGTACCGAAAACTCACTGATTTTGAGCAAGACTGGCCTCATGGCGTCCATCAACTTGGGCATGAACGCCTAGTACCAGGTGCGCCTCGGCAGAAATCATAATTCTGGAGAAAAAGTGAAAATGCACTCTTTTTAAATATAAAGTTACATTTTACTATTATTGCAGGGCAACTGCTTGACCTCTTTTCCCAACCGGGTTCATGGAGCACTCCGTTGTGTTCCAGCTCAGAAAAGAAAGCATCCAAGTTCACTACAACACCGTTACCTATGATGTTGAAACACTGAAAACACATCAAAAAAAGATGAAAAAGAAAACCAGAAGAAAACATAACAAGATAAAATCCAACCGACCCCACGGACATATTCACTTCAAATGCAGAGTGCTTTATTGAAAACCTGATGTAAATGGCTACGAAACAATACCTTTTGGCTAATAATTCCACTAGGTAAAATATGAAAGTCGTATGTTCTTCCGTTCGCTACCACGGTGTGACCAGCATTATTACCTCCCTGACAACGAGCAGTTACCTGCACCTAAAATAGGGAAACATTGAAGCATAGAATTCATGCATTCCCACTGCTAGACATAGCGTGTTACATTATTACCCATTAAATATAAAGCACTGTTAGGTTGTTAAGAAATCAAAGCAGAATTTTAAAGTGTATTTCCAAAGTGGCATAAATCAACTCCCAATAAACTTCGTTGAACATATCTTACAATCCAAAAACTTTTTCTAACGATTACGAAGCCTGAATCGGATCCCAGACCAGCTTGGAATCAGCGATTACCTTACCCTCACGGCTCACGTATTACCCACTGCAACATAGACGTCCCTGCTTCGCCTTGGAGAGCAGAGAATGGCATCGAACCCAGTTGAGCTGCAGCTGTATTCGTAATCACAATGTTTAACCTTTATTTGCTGCCTTTTTAATGTCAGTCTGTACTTCACAGGTTATTCCTGTTGATGGGTTATTCTAGATACCAACGTTAAGGTAGGAACTATCTGAAGGAAATCAAAGCAACTGCCTTTGTGTCGCAATGGGTAACACATATGCTCCAAGACAAGGTTGTGGCGTGTTCGAAGCTGTCCTGCGGTCCAAGTTTTGCAAATATCTCAGCATCGTTCTGGTTGCACTTCACATTATACTCCGTCGTGAAGAAATAACAGGCGGTAAATAAAAAGTCAAACACTGTGACTGAAAAGTTTGTTAATACCACTTGAATAAAATACTGGAATTCCGGATCAAATAAAATCACTGCAGGCAGCTTCAGTCTCGATCTGGTTTCTGAAGCACCTCTTGCACCAGAAATCTTCGCGATGCTTGAAAGAGTAATAAACATTGTGGTAGAAAGGAGCAGCGATTTTGATGAGTGACGTAGAATTTCGGAGCACAGCTCACCTCTGTGGAATCGATAGTGCGAGTGTGCCAGCGCTTTATGGTGGACACGGATTGGCCGCTTCTGTTCACAAATGGTGGGTGTAGATGTTGAAGCTCTTGGTGTACTTCGTCGATTTTCTTGACGAACTTTGTCGTCGTAATCGTTTCAGGTGGACTTCATGTTTCGATGATACCTCGGCCCAGGGACATGCTGCGTAATTTCCCAGTGATTCAACGAATCAGCCCGTGGGCGTCTGCTGTCGTATACGATGCGCTTCTTGCCATGTGTACAATACAGTCAAAAAAACTGACCGTTTTTACTGAGTAAAAAGAACGTCGACGATGCGTCAAAACAGTGATTTTCTTTTCTTGCTATCTATTAAACCCGTAGGGAGTTTATAACACACTGATATGTAATGGTACGGAAAAGGTCAAAGCGTTCGGCGTTGATGAATTCTTGAGCGATGCGACATGGATTCGACTCTAGCTAGCATCGTCATAGGTTATTGAATGCCTACGAATAACTACGAATACGTGACCAATCAGGATGACTCGTGATGGCCTGACAATGTATCAGATTAGTTCTGCTATCCACTCAAATAAGTTTGGCATCAATGTTCCAACGACGGAGGGGTGGAAGACTTCTCGGTGAGGGTGGCACGCGAGCCAATAGGACTATCTGTGTATTGCAGGGCACCTATAACCACTGCCACCACTCACTAACGGTACTGCACCAGAAAAAATTATTGCCAAAACATATATAGAAAAAACACAATTAAAAATTCTGCTCTAATTTCCGAACTACCTAATATTATACGTGGACAGTAGAGACCTTGCAACGTAATAACATTTAGCCGTCGTCATCAATTTAAGCCCCAACCAACTTTTCAGAATTTGGTAACCACATTAACTTCAACTCTTAGCTACACCCTCTTCGTCTGTATCTTCGTATTGTTTCTGGAAAGGCTCACTTCATTATGAAACCTGTTTGAGTCCTACATTTTAATAATAACGAAAATTCTGCACCACAGATTGTATAGAGCGCTTAACATTTAATACACCGATAGCAGTATTTGATTACAGGCACTTTCTGGGCGCTTTGTCACCTTAGAGATGGTTCGCTGCAATCGTCTATAGAAACACTGGTACAACTTACTAATCCACCGAGATATATCTGTGCATTGCAGGACAATGAAACAGCAGAAATGCACAGCCAACAAAACAAGTGGGACATACACAGTACATGGAGGAGGTCCCATTACAATTATCACTATACGCCCTCGTTATTGAAAATTTTTATATTCAAAGTGATATCGAACCAAGATATGCATTAATAAAGCTGGCGCATTGCTAGAAATTCTCTGTTAAGAATCAAGTGCTTATCATGTGCAGCGAACATAATAAGTAATTCCTGAGATTGCTATGCGGTGCCAAATATGTAAAGGATGTTCTTGTTGAGGAAAGGAGTGATAACTATGACAGTAAATCATGGCGCGGGCTATCTTCCTCTGCTGAAACATTTGGCAACTAGAATGACCATAAACACGCGACCTTACTGATCCCACCATTATCGTAATCATATCGTAATCAGTTTGCGTTTTTCAATATCGTGCCATAACGAAAACCTACATCATAATTCTCGATGAGGTAGTCAATGATCTTTCCCTTGCCTTCGTCACCCCATTGAGCGCCTAACAACACTGATACTGCACCCACTGCAGGACTCATTTCTGTGAACAGAATAGGATGCCACCGTTCAATTTAAACGGTACTTAACGCAAAAATATGTGACGACGATGGATGAATAAACATCAGAAAAACAGAGTGACAAGATCACGAAGACCAAGTGATAGAGGTAAAACCAGCATTTGATGAGGATTCATCCGAAGTACTTCATCTATTCTTCTTCAAACAACTTTAGCCATTACGTTTACTACGACTAAACTAGACTACGTCTAAACGAGTTCAAGATACCTATATAACGACGAAAACAGCTACCTTTACAGTTTGAGTAAGAAAGATCGCAGAAAAAACCATACTGTATGAGGAGCAAAAACCCTATGATGATGAAAAAAGAACAATAACGTACAACTGCTATAAATGAAAGTGTTGTGAATAAAGATAATGCGAAGAAAATTCTAAACTTGCTACAAAAATGATAGAAGGAAGGATTTAACAACGAAACAGGTGGTTATAGCACAAGAATATCTACCCAATACAGAAATCCCACAAGTATCTAAGATAAGATAAAACATCAAGATCGGTCACCGTCCAGGTATCAAACTAGATGCATGCCGACAAATCTCCTTTTGATCCACAAGGTCGGTGACTGCCTGTGGCAGTGACCACCTGCGGCAGACATTGGGTAGGTTGACCACGGGACCCCAGAAAACACCAATGGCTAAACCATCAAAACTCCGAAAAAAGAAAATTACACTGTGGACCGCACAACCTAAAAGATGAGCCATCCAAGTAAATATATATATCCATATACCTACTTGGATAATTGCACGGCCCATCCTCACTGGTTGTGCAGCTCCTAGCACCTTATCCATTTTTCGAAGTTTTGCTGGTTTAGCCACTGTGTTTCCCTGGAGCCCCAAGGTTAGCCTGGCTGTCTGTCCAAGGTCATCACCACCAAAGGCAGTCGCCGCCCTTATGGATCAGAGAGAGATTTACTACCATGCGACTAGTTCGATACCAGGACGGTGGTTGATTCAGGTATTGGTTTACTCTTAGCTGAACTTCCTCATGGAAACGCCGAACTCCTTTCCAGCCTGGGAGACCCTGCCGGGAGATTAATCCTCGCGCTGTAAATCGCAGCCCGACAACCAGGAAGACCAACCACGATAAGCCAGTAAACCGTTGAGAGGTGTGCATACATATACACTATATATATATATATATATATATATATATATATATATATGTATATATATATAATATATATGTATAATGTTATACGGGGTTACTGTTGACAGTAAACAAGATCTTTTTAAAGTTTTTACGTGCTTGTTTCCATTCTGTTACCATTCTACACTTCCTCACTTTCAGTAAGTAGACTCATAATACCAACAGCAACAGCAGTACGGATAACGTGTTTGGACCCAAAGATGATCGAGCCATGACGAGTTAAAAATTACACTAAAAACTGAGGAAATCGCAGAACACCTGGATAAACAAAAAATTTTTCGATAAGCAGAAATGTATCTATAACAAGGTTGGGGAAACCGTATGCATCTATAGAACTAAAACGTAAGCAGGTGAACCACGAGCTCCCTTATGTGTGATGCTGAATCAGTTCTTTGCGAGGACAATCAGATCAATACAAAGTTTGGTGAAAAAGCGGAAATACACGAGTCCTGAAAGGCCGGTAAATGACAGAATCGACCATCTGTCCCCGTAGCGCTCAACCGACTTAAAATTTGAGTGTAAATATTTAAACATCAACTCACACGTGCATGGATTTCAATGAACTACACTAACAGAGAAGTACATTTAGTTGAAAGGAAGTGCGAGGTTGGCTAACAGGCTACTGAGGTGGAGAGCATCTGAACCTGAGGAATTGCAAGCACACTAAATAAAACTATAGAGCACAGAATAATGCAGTTGATGAGATAACGGTGCTATAAGACTGGTGAAGATAAGAGGACAAAACTTTCTAAAGGCCGTTTAAAACGAAGAACTGTTTCTCGGTACATACGATGACAGAGGATTTATTATAGGCGCTGCTCACATCAATATAGGCTTGGCAATGAATACAGTAGAGCCCAATGAACCATTATTGAGTAGAAACCGATAATTACGGTTGAGAAGTGGAATAATGCAGGATTTGATTTATAACGTCCAAGCATCAACACCAATCTTAGAATATAACGTCGAGTCGTTGCCTATGAACTTCGAGCTTTAGATGGAAGACCATACTTAACACTTCGAAAAATCTCAACATCGAGACTGGAATTATGAGTAATTCTAAAAATCTGAAGAGACCCAAAAAGGAAAATGAGTAGGAAAATCTAGGTGGTTAGCTTCCATTCATTATGACGAACAATAGCACTATAACCTTCATGATGCGCACATATTTGCAAAACTCCGGAACACAGGTTTCTGAACGAAGCACTATACTGAGCGGTGCGTGCTGCCCTTGTCTTCTCAGGGCAAAGCACTATCAACTTGTACATGAAAGACTTCGCATGTTAAACAAACCCATGAAGTAAAGTAAACGAATTTTTGGAGATTTCCCTTATTAAGATTAGCAGTAGCTAAAACTACTGATGAACAAGATGACCGGCGTATTTAATAGTTTCAGCATAAAACACAAAGGTTTAGAACTGAGCAAGAGCACCTGTCTCCAAGCAAAACGCCGGTACAGAGCAATACGTATAATAGGCAACTGGTCGAAGCTCAAAGAAAAGTTGTAAGACGTAGAAAGACAGTGACAGTGTTTAAATACGAAAAAAAGAGCGATTTACTGAAGCAAAAAGTAACCATAGCATTTATGTAAACATAACCCAAGTTTTAAAATTAAGACATCGTGGAAAAACAATTACGTGTGCCTTTCTCAGACACTGAACGTGTTAAACGAAATGGAAAAGCATAAAGAAACTGTGCACAAAAGAGCAAAATGGGACAGCGATGTGTTTTCAAGAGGTTAACAACAAACTTAAAATTCGGCAACCAACTGTTCGTACACTTCCACCAATGTGGGTACACATGTCGGTTACGTTGACGAATTTGCGAATTAACCGCCGAGCCCTACAGCAATACTTTATGAAATAGCAGACAGTAACATAGAACACCTACTTGGATACTTGGATAGATCGTCCTCAGTGGTTATGGTGTCCCAGCAAAATTTCCAATTTTTTGCTGGTACAGTCATTGTGGTTCTCTGAAGTCCAGGGGTCAACCTAACAAAAGAATGCCAGGTCGTCAACATCATAACCAGTCGCTGCCCTTGTGGATTACTCTTAGTTGGGCTTCCTGATGGAAACGCCGGACTTCTTCTCAGCTGGGGAGGTCTTGCTGGGCGGGTGAATCTCCCCGCTGTACATCGCATCCCAACACCCAGTAACACCTCCCAGCCACGACGAGGCGGTAAACCGTTGGAAGGACATCTAGCTGTACTAAGAGCAAAAATGATAAACAGCTTAGTTGAGCAATGGTAGGTGAGCAATATAGAAAGGCTAAAAATGTCGAGGCATACTAAAAATACAATGAATTCCCTACTTCGCGCCACCCTCGACATGCTAGATTCCCGAAAGAATGTCTCAAAAATCTGAACGCATTTCTGTGCAGTTGAGAAGGTGAAGGATAAGAACTCTACGAGAGGAATCTAGAAGTCGAGGGCGATCGGAAACCAGGTATGCTACTATATACCCCTCTACACTAAAATTCAGCTGGTGCTGGTGCGAAATCTCAACAGCAAGTAGTACACCTACTGCTAAATATGAGCTATTCAACTGCTAACTCCATGGAATCTCAGGCACACTATGACGTAGGGTATCTGGTTATGAAACCAATGCCCAAAATTCTGAATCACGTGGCTCCTCAAGTTCCTTATTGAAGTAGAACTCACTAGGCAGCAATTCTAGCATGCAAAATGTAAGACTAACTTTCACTCATAAATTTGGCGAGTTTTCATATCCGTGCTAGGCTACTTGGAGATTTTTCCTCCCTCACAGATACTGATTTAGCATGGCTTTCTCTAGAATCCTGAGATATCACTGCCAGAACGTTCCAGAAAGTTCATTATAGGTAACCAGTGACCTATCTTTCCAGTTCCAAAAAAGCTGGTTCCTTAGCAGTATGACTCTCACAGTAGCGGCTCTTGACATTAGAAGATCGAATTGTCTACTATGACGTTACAGATAAAAAACTGCACCGTTAATACAGATAACTAATCTCAATTTTGGAGCGAGGAACGAATGTAATATCTAATTGTTACCACACCCGCCCGTATATTCGAAATCTCACAATGCATTTAGTTATAAAAAAGGATAAAGGATAAAGCCATCGGCGTTCACCAATCCCTGAAGGATGCCGCATGCATTCGACTTCATTAAGCACCGATGGAGGTGAGTCTGGAAAGAATTTGCAGACCCGGAGGGATGGAAAGCTTGGTGAGTCTGCAGCGCGGAGATCGACCCCATGTGTATTGCAGGGTGCCTCCGACCACTGCGCTACACGCACCCATCAAATTACAGAAAAACAATAACAACGTTCTACACATAGTGGTTAATAGACGGACAGTGCACGGATAAATGCGACGCGAAACTCATTAAAAGTAGGAAAGGATTAACACACTATTGGAGTGGCCTGAATGTCTCACGCAAACATAGTATTTTCCCACATGCGAAAAACCCACGTCATGTGACACTCACACAGCCTTTACACAAGATCCTCATCTCTTTCTAATGAATCCACCTGGTTAAGACCATAAACTGCTGCGAAACTCCTAAAACCTGAAGCGAAAACAAGGAAATAAAGACCAAAATTACAAACTCGGGGTCAAACATATTAAATACACAAGGACCAATGAAAACTGCGCCAAAATCGGCCATAAAATATTCCTTCAGAACGTCGAGCTTGAGCAGCTACTGCAACGATCTACAATGATGACCTTTCACCTAAAGAGTACAAATGCTGCCAAACAAAACCCATACAGGAGAGCAAGAAAACCGAGTGTAGAACTAACCCCGTAGTACCCCAAGAATATAAGACGATAGAACGGAATAAACACAAAACAATCGTGACGTATAGTACCTTGCCATAATAAAAATCCTAAACATGTTTGGTTATACAAGAAGGATTTAATAGATTCATATATAAAATATCTGACAAAACGATCAGGTAGAAATACAGTAAACAGCCATATATAAATATTTATAGCAAAATCGAAATTGCTTGTAAAAGGTGCATCAACACTCGGTGATCATGGGTTAGCACTCAACAAGGTAGGACATAACAATAAACTGCTGAAAAGAGCATATTGAGGTCAAAATATCAAACACAAACAAAGAGCAACACTAACAGACAACCAACTAAGCACAGATAACAAGTAAAAAGGAAAAAAAACTAGAACGGTAAGAGACTGTAGTGTAAAAACCTACTGCATTAGAACACTACAACGTAGAAAAAACGTTGACAACTAAGGAACGACAATGAACGTCCGGTTCAGTTTTGTTCCTTCTTTGGTTCCTCAGCTGTTTTTGCTTCCTGAGCATCAGAAGCCCCTCCAGAATTTTTTTCTGCCATCTTTTTGTACGCTGCCTGAAACTCAAAAGGCACGACTCAGAAGCGAAGGTTCTTGAACAGTAGAAACATACTGTTCATATAATATAAAACCTATCGCATTCGTTCTTGTCAGAAGAATCGAAACCGAGGGCTTCTGAATGGTGAGAACAAACTGACACAATTCAACCCCTCCCCTCCTCACCTACAAATCTTTGTTGCCACAGTATTATATTATAAAATACTAATTTTCAATCTCACTTTGTTTATTGGTTAATTGACAGACTTCGCGACTGATTTAAAGGACGGAGAAAACTCACAAACACATTACCGCGAATGAATAGTTTACTAGATTATATACTACATCCAGTAGAATCAAACATGAAACGTGTTTAAAACACTGGAAGAACTCAAGAATGGCTTTAACAATCTCACAGGTTATTACGAACATAAAGAAAGACAAACCTCGAAAAGTTTAAGAGACTGCTGTTGAAGTGAGTTTACAGCATCTTTGATCTTCTCTGGTGTCTCGTTCTCCTTATTGGCCAAGATTTTCTTGGTATCCTCGATTTTATTTTTCAATGCGTCACACTAAAGCGCACGAAGTCAATTTCGAAGGCTACTAAGCTGCTGTACGTTAAAAAAAAAGCAGCACGGACCTCGTCTTTAGGAAGCTGGTCAGCGAATTCGGCCATCTTGCTCTCTGTGTCGTGGATAATACCTTCAGCGTGATTGAGGACCTGAACTACCGCGGTAGGAATCTAAAGTCTCTAATCCACCACCATGAGCAAATGCACTTATCAACCTCAACCATCTCCTTCTTTTTGGCGTCTTCAGCAGCATTCCTCTCAGCTTCGCGAATCATGTTTTCAATTTGATCTTTTGAGAGGCCTCCGGAAGACTGAATCACAACTGAAATGAGCATATAATAATGAAAAAATCGAATTTGAAAGCGACCATAGTCTCATGGCAGATCACAAAACTTACTTTGTTGTTCCTTTCCGGTACCGCGATCTCTGGCTGATACGTTAACAATTCCATTTGCATCGATATCAAAGGTAACTTCTATCTGAGGAACACCGCGTGGCGCAGGTGGAATGCCAACCTAACAAAGGTAAGGATGAACAACGTAGAAAAAATAGAGAAAAAAGAAACCTGACCAAAGAAAATTGCCCGAGCAATTTGTTATCGTTCGCCATTTCACGCTCACCCTGACAAACCTTGATCTGCACTTGTGTTTGCCCATCAGCAGCAGTGGAAAATATCTTAAAACCATACAAACTGGAACAAGAATTTTTCTCCTACAGATGCTTTAAGCACTAAACGCGATAGTGGGACAGTAACTTCTACCTGGCTTTTTTTAGTAGGAATGGTAGTGTTACGTGTTATTAGTTTTGTCATCACACCTCCCAGCGTCTCAATACCGAGTGATAAAGGAGTGACATCGAGTAGAAGGACATCGGTCACGTCACCTAAGTAAACGTTTGCGTACGATTCAGCGGCAATGAATGTGAACATAATACAACAAATTTATGGTTGAGCACATACCAGCAAGTACCGCTCCTTGAATTGCAGCTCCTATAGCAACAGCTTCATCGGGATTTACTGCCTTTGACGGAGCTCGCCCAAACACTTCTTGTACGGTTTGCTGAACCTTCGGCATACGCGACATCCCTCCCACAAGAAGTACCTCGGCTATTTCCGATGGTTTCACCTGAATCCGATGTACATCTTCAACAAAGCACAACAAACAGATTTTCTTGCTCCAGTTCTACAACAACCCGACCTCAGCATCATGCATGGCTTTACGGCAAGGTTCTATTGTGCGTTTGATGAGATCGGCAACCAACTGCTCGAACTTAGCTCTAAAAATATGACAAATGATATTGTCTCCTTCACTGATTTCCTCTCATAAAAACGAAGAAGAACCTAGTAAGCTTCATTGTCATGTGTTTCGGTCCAGATGTGTCCATTGTGAGGTAGGGCAGGTTGATATCCGTTTGAGTGGTTGACGAAAGCTCACATTTTGCTTTTTCAGCAGCTTCGCGAAGACGTTGCATTGCCATTGGGTCCTACTCAAGATTTTGTTTAGATTCACAACGGTAATTTACACATTGACAACGGCGTTGGCATTATACAATATAGCTGGCGCGGTGAGTAGCCAACACGAGCAATATAAAGCCATTTTCTTTCCAATGGCTGTTTTGTTTACAATACCTTTCTTCCTACATCTTGTAATCGATCGGTAATTTATCTAACACAGGTTTTGCGGAAAAGTCAATCGCAAAAAGCTGTATTCCGCATTTCGAAATATACAAAGGACTTTTTCTCGAGAGGGTTCACTGACTAGTAATCTAACTGAAATATAACTTTTCTGCTATTTTAATCATCACGATGAATCAAAGCTACTTCATGGAATGTGTGAGTAAAAAAAACGATGAAACAGACTCAACATACGCTGCAAAACTCCCAAATGATAACAGCAATATGTTTGCATTTTAGGCTACGGTAACACATAGTAGCACAAAAACACCACTAGTGGTCACAGAGAGATACAGTCAAGTCTTTAACACAACCCTTTCACGTTTACAATCCCTCAAGTCCTCTAGTTATTGAAAAACTATCGGCTATTTTCGGAAAACCAGCATGTCTGAAAGGCCGAAAACCAAGTACCGTTCATCACGAATGTGTTGAAATTACTGTGAGTAAGAACCCTCATTAACCTCAACGGTCTTGTTATAGATCGCAATGCTAGAGGTTACCTTCGTAAGATCGATTCCTTGCTCTCGTTTGAACTCGGCAACTAAGTAATTCACCAGTGCGTGGTCAAAGTCTTCCCCGCCCAGGAAAGTATCTCCATTCGTAGACTTGACCTCAAACACACCTTTCTGGATCTCCAGCACAGAAATATCAAAGGTTCCACCACCGAGATCATAGACAGCAATGCTATAATAATAAACGGTTGAATCACGACTAAAAATGCATACATTACACTTCAATAAGCCACAACCATGAGAAAAGAGAAAAACCGGCACATATACCTCAATTCGACGGGCGTTGACCAGTTGTTCAAAAATTCTTAAACTATTTCAGGATAGGGTCGAATTCTACCAGTGAAAATGGCAACAAAACCATCCTAATTTTCGAAAAAGCCGATTTAACCACACCACATTAACTAGCTAACTATTGTTGGAAAACAATTTGTATACCTAATGGACGACCCAGGATAACCAATTTAAAAGGAAAATCTATTCATTCCTACTGAACGTGAAAGTTATTCGCCTTAAAGTGCAAATAAAAATTGCACGATTTATCCCTATTTTAAACGCTCACTCAAAATCCTAATTAATGCTAACCAGTTAACTAATTACAGCTGGTCTCATTATTGTGCCCGTGAGCACAATAACTTGGATTTTTTACAAAAAAAATCACATATACATTTTATCTTCTGTTTTATCCAGACCGTAAGCAAGAGCTGCAGCAGTGGGCTCATTAATCACTCGAAGGACATTCAAACCAGCAATTTGTCCTGCATCCTTTGTAGCCTTAAAGAAAATGTGAATTAGATATAGGAATATAAAAGATTAAAAGGAATGAAGCTATATGTGTATATGTACACACGTACAGAAGACATATATATATATATATATATATATATATATATGCATATATATAAACATACACATACCAACATACAAAACATACACAACAACATAACACAACATACAACACATGTATGTGTGTAATATGTGCACACGCGTATATGTATAACTTACAGACGTACAAATATACGTGCAGGTGCATTTATATCTATGTATACATACACGTGTATTTATAAACATATCGTATAAACGCTCCTATTTAGTTACTGCCACATCGAAGATGTAGATCCATTACTGGACGACGATCTGATGTGAAATGCAATTAAGAGCAGAGACCTGCTGCAAGCACTTCTCCAATGTTCTGTTTTGTATTTCCATTCCGAAGCCCAGAAATGGGAAAATCAAAGCCTCCAATACCCCGCGACACGTCGTTCTCAAAAACACAAAGGGGAAAACTGGAGAGGAAACCTTCCAACACAAGCAAATAACAGAGCGGAAATTGTACTCAGAACTGCATCATTAATCGTGAAGATGAGCCATTCATGTACATGAAATTATATTTGCCACACAACGTTACGTAGACTATACGATGGAGCACATATAAAAACTACCTGTCTCTGTGAGTCATTGAAGTAGGCCGGAACGGTAATAACAGCATTATGTACTGTCGTTCCAAGATAGTTTTCAGCGGTCTCTTTCATTTTCATAAGAACAAACGCTCCGATCTGAAGTTCCGCAAAAGGAAGCCATAATAATAGCTCATTAAACCAATCCATAACAAAAAATGCACAAAGGTGATTTCAATGCACTGCTCGCCTGTGAAGGAGAATACATTTTTCCTTGTGCCTCAACCCAAGCATCTCCATTGCTAGCTTTCGAAATTTTGAAAGGTACGATTTTTCTGCAATGGAAAAAGAAAGTAAGCCAAATGTAAGCAACAAGAAGGTAACAACGTGACCCTCAAATCCTTAACAAATGGCATGGGAAACTACAATAGTTAATAATCGAGGATGCGAGTCTGAAAAGATTTGAAAGAAGCGTCCCTTCCTTTACAATGTTTACAACGTTTAAAAAAACCACGTTTTAATATCAAATGGGCAATTTTACACACAATTTACGCCTCCTATTACTTGGTTTTCGTGTAGAAAAATAACAGTGCACCTTAGTTTCATGAAGATGACGCTTACGAATGAATTTGTTCCTACCCGACTGTTAATATTAAAAGAAAACACAAATGTGTTACATTTACCTGATCAATAATCAGTCTAAATAAGTATAGGAAACTGGAGCAGACTAAATTGAATTGCGTTGTATTATAACCTTTCACGGCAGGATATTATGTGCAGTGCAACCACAACGATGCCGAGATATTTGCAAAACTCCAGACCGGTGGGGAACAAACGTGCTATGCTCTTTCCGGGGACTAACGCTTTCACCACAACACCATGCGGGTTCTTCGGTCCTCCTATCTCTCTGGTATTTTTCATATTCGAGAAATACCACACACATGTATACTATAGGAAAAAGGCTATCTATTTATTACAGAACAAAACTGCTTTTGTCTTGCCACAAGACTCAGAACAAAGTTTGAACAGAACAGACTTTGCTCTTTTGGCCCATAGGCATGAACAACTCCTACAAATTACTTTCATTTCGCACCTACCTAAAATCCAGATTTCAAAGTAAAACCCCATTATTCTCCTTAGAATGAGGAGACTTGTCCATTGTTGGCGAAGATATCTAGATCTCGACAGTTTATATTTCAATTGAAAGTCTTTAGTACTACCTAAGATGAGCTTACTGATCATACTCACACAAGTATGGATTTCAAGTGAAAACCAGTCAAAAGCCCAAAAAAAAAACTCGCCATCTTAGCAAATAAGTTGAATTTTGTATAGTTTGTCTCAACGACAACAGACTTCTTGTTCTGTGACTTCTAAATAATCATTCTATTTAGGATGTGTAAACTGTAGAATTTTCTGAGCGCAAAGTTCAAAACAACAGCAAAAAGTTGTAAGAATAACAATCGAAGGACTTTCTAAAACTTTCGAAAGAAAGCTGTCCTGAACTGATGGATGCATACTCTGTGAACACCCCACCAATATAGGAATAGAAGTAAATAAGTGATTAACTACTAATTTACTAACGAAAACTTACACATCCTTCTGCACCTCTGGATCGTCAAATCGTCTCCCAATTAGTCTTTTTGTAGCATAGAGGGTGTTTTGGGGGTTAGTGACTGCTTGACGCTTCGCCGGTGCTCCAACTAATCGTTCACCATCCTTTGTGAAAGCCACGGTTGATGGGGTTGTTCGCACACCCTCTGCATTTTCTATAACCTGAAAATATTGGATGATGTAGGTTTAAAGGAAGGAAGGATACAACATCTAAAGAATAAATAATGCTTTGAGACTACCACACGCAGCTGGTGACAAAGAGATTACCAAGATGTGTAACGGAATAACTCAGATGTCACGACACGAGAGGACACCTTGTGTACCAAGACGTCATTTTGTGATGGCATTAAAAGTCGTGTTATCACAATAACAAAAAAATTCGCTTCTTCCAATATCCGGTTAACATTATACAGATTTCACTTCTAAGTCTCTAATGCAATGAAGAGATAGTTGTTTTTCCAACTAGTAGCCCTACTGGTTAGGTAATAGTAAGGAAAATCTGTACATGTTCCGAAAGGTGACACGCGCACCTTTGCATCAACGGTTTTCAAAAAAAATTACAGCTCGGTTAACTCTGATATACTACGTTCAGCTATGGGGAGCATAGCACAGTGGTAGTGATGTCGGTCATCACAAGCATGGTGCTAGTTCGATTCCGTTCCAGGTGGACCAAGCCTCCCATACAACCGAGGTGAGGAAATTGATACCAGACTTATCCAGGAAAAAAAAATCACTGGAATCCAACTGGGAACGCTCTAGCCCGGCTATATCACGACTCCAAGTAGAATCGACTCGACCAGCATTATACGGCTTTCAAGATGAAATGAAAATCCTCAAGCAGTAGCCGACACCACACGCAAAAGAAGTTGGAAGATCTTCGCAGATAAGTGAGCAAGAAAACGAAGCGAATGTGAGAAGTCCTGGGAACCGCACAGTAGGTATGAAGACGGGTCGTATAAAAAAAAGTCCTCGTGAGAACACTGTTCTGGTAACAGTGTAAACACCTTTTCGGTTTAGAGATTTACCAGAAAAGGTGCAAAAAAAAGGTACGGGACCAAGGAATTCCCATGAAAAATGCTCTTCCAGCAAGCAAGACACATGGCAGTCAATACGACCTAAAAACCCCCCTGAATGATAACTAAGAATGTCACTGATTTTTGAACAATTAGTAAAAGTGAAATCATCATGCCTAGTGAATACGTCTAGTAAAGGACAATCTGCAAACAACCTCTATATTTCTTATAGAACTGAAGAACATACAGCTAACGACTTCCAAAATGAGAAGTGCGCTTAAATAGCATAGCGATACCATGCAGCTCGCAAAAATGCTGACTTCTGCACACCCAGAAAAAAACAGATTACTTTGGTGCTTCCCAATTCCAAAACAATATAGTCTATCTAGGCTAATGCTTTTCTTGTAGAACCGTAAAGTCCTGAATATCTTATAGGATACAAACACGTAAATGACGCAACTAGCAGTATTAAGAAATGGCCACTTTCAATCAAAGACTAAGTGCAAATCAATGCTCCGATGGATTAAGCACTCGAAGATGGTGAAGTGCATAGATACCTTAGTCGGAATAAAATCAGTACTACTGGGCAATCTTCCAATGGATCACAAACATTTTCATTAAACCACATGATGTTCTTAATTACCTTTGCTTGTTTTCCCTCCATAACCGCCACACAGGAGTTCGTCGTTCCCAGATCGATCCCAATCACAGCGCCACGAATTGTATCCGACCTAAAGTGGTACACTTGTTCCAAAATAATTTCAGACATAATCGATGCAAAATGGGTTTACTTGAACCGTTGAGAGAAGCCACCCAGATAAGCCGTCCGAGCAAGTACTCGACTACCTACCAACGAAGCACTAAATAGCGTCCTAGCCGTCGGAAAAAACATGTTGCTGTAGAAATCACCTAGACTTACGTTCATTGGAATAAAAAAGTGAGTATTCAAACCAGTAAAAGAGGGCAACGAACGATTTTATTCACAAATCACAAATTCAGAGTTCAGGAAAACATACGACAAGCCCAAAGGAACTTAATAACATTGAGATCATAACCCAGATCAATGCCAGGAAACCACCATCCTGGACGATAGCTAACCGACATGAAAAGACCCTAGCACGGCTACCCCCAGCCTCCTGGAGAAAACCTTCTTAAGTAAAGCACAAGTCCAATGAAAACTAAGCTGAAACACGCCGAGTCAATTCGTAGAGAATTGACATGGCAAGTATTAGGTAACAAGTAATACCATGTTAACTTGTAAAAAGCTTCCAGACTCCATCAATCAAATGAATAAAGGCCTATATTAGTGGTATATAAACCATCGAAGGTCAATTTCAGAATACTACTACAGCTTAAACACGTACTACTTGTAGAACAGTCCAGCAGACCACCTTGAAATTTCGTCATTTGCTTGCTGTAAAATTAAAGGTCACAAAACGAAATCATGTGGAGCAAGAACTCTTTAGCGGAGCACACTTTTTTGTTAACCGTGGGCTGTGCGTCGTTGTTTCATTCCTTCGTGTTCTTGAGGACTTAGGTGGTTGCCGTGGGTTTTTGGTAATTACTGTCGGAGTTGAGAGAATTTTTTCCTTTCAGTTCAAAGATGGGGTTTGCTTCATCATCTCGTGAAGTCAAGTTGAAGATGATGAAAACCTCACACACTAGGAAGACCACGAGGAAGCTAAATCGTTTGGCGCGGAGGAAAAAGTTGTCACGAAATGTAATAGATGGGCTGAAGGATATCAAAGCAAGAAGATCCAAGGAATCCCGAAAGCGGGTGCTCAATGTAAGGAGTTAAAATATCTTTTATTAAGTCATTGCTTTTTCTGATATCAGTTCTGGTTCTGGTTTACTCATCTTTTCACTCCAGTAAGGATATAATCTATAACTATATCATATGGTCTGCCGATATTCGCCATTGCTTCGAAGGGATTATGTGGGTGCCAAAATCGTGACAAGGGTTTGTTGTTTGAGTACTACGTTATCTTCAATACCTAGTGTCAAAACGATCTGTGAATACATTTCCCTACATAATCAGCAGTAAGTTTTAAGAAATCAGAGGTGTTATCACACCAGGGCTCCACGAGTTTGATTTAACAATGGTCCCTACTCTCAGTGTCGAGTAGGGACCTTAAGACCGTGGGATGACTCGGTCACAATCAGGATAAAGTGCCATGTCTTTCCCACTCTTCAGCACTTTGCTGTTGGTAGAGAGGTTTCTCATAGTAAACAAATAGAATTCCGTAACGTATTTCCTCGTTGTTTAGATGTCAGGTGACCCTTCAACAGTAAGGATCATCCCGCAAAGTGCTGAAGAGCCAGTGCATAGGACCTCGACGTAGTCGCCTAGTAAATCCTAAGGGATATCCATTCAATGAGTTCGTGAACGGATATTCTAGATAGAAGACGATTGGATTGACGACCGTAACGTCCACTACGGTGACGAAGCTGAAGATAATCTGCCTCTAGATATGTTGGATGCTGACGTTGACTGGGAAAACAGTGCATTTGCTGGAGTGGTACGAAGACGCAATCGGAGTTGGTTTCCCCTAATCTTGTGCTCCCCAGCTTCATAGGTTTTGAGAGCTGAAACACAAGTGCATTTATGTTATTAAGACTATTTCAACATAGAGCTCGAACACCCCTGCAGTCGGGAAGATGACGGCGATATTGAAAAGAAGAAGAGGAAGTTTGAAGGACATCTGGATGATAATCTAGAGGAAATGCTGCCAATCAAGTTGAAGGTATTGTGTGTTTTTATGATTTCATGATCATGATTTGAGAAAGGAAAGGTCTAGGATGGAAGAGTTTTCCGTCCCACTCGAAAAAAGAATGTGGAAATAGAAGACGAACCGGAGCAAGATCAAGTGAAAGAGGAGACTAAGGTCGAATTCGAAGTACGTATTCAGTTTTGTAGTCCTATTTCTTAAATCTAATGAAGTCTTATTTCAATATCTGTTGAAGTGTTTCAACCCATTTTCTAGGATTTCCGTGGGCTTAGCGCTGTTGAATTGCTCCTAAAGAGGAAGGAAATGATCCAGCAGTTCAAGCAAACGATTTCCGGTTACGCTCATGACCTTCTCACGGATCCCCAAGATAACGTAAACCGATTACTAACTAGATAGTTGAGGAAATGGGTGAACTTTCTAGAATGGCCTTCTGGGAACATGAACTTAAAAAATCGTACCTTAAAGCCTTTGATCATTCTACATGTCTTGTCTTATCTCTTCAGATCTATAGGCTGCGCGATTTGTTTCAACTGTGTCAAGGAGAAAAAGTACATTCACTGGTTCGAGAGTCGGTTCAGAAACTGGCTTTGCTTAGTATTATGCAGGTGTGTCGAATACTTTAGTTGTTATCAATTTATCTCAGAAGAAGTTTCTTTAAACAGAATTTTAGGGGAGGAGGAGGGAATCTGCTCCATTTTAGTACTTTTTCTTTTTCGGATCTTCGCCTCTACACATTGTAGGCTCTTATTGACATCATCCCTGGCTATTCTATCCGTGAACTTAATGAAGAAGAGAAACAACAGAAAGTGAAGAAGGAGACAAAGAAAGTGCGAAATTTCGAAGAAGTTCTGCTGCGGTACTACTTGAAATTTCTCCAGTTTTGTGAAAAGAAGATGGAAAGTGCGTTTTTTTTCGAACTTTTCTGATCCATGTGAATGTAACTTCTTTGTTACACTTATCGTTTTCATGTAAATCTTCATACAACGTATGTTGTCTGCGGCGTACCAACCGAGAGAAACTTCTTTGTACCTAATAATTTATAAAAAAAACGTTTCTTAGACGTCTTTTCGTTTGATTTGAATCCTGCCATGAAGGTATCCCAGAGGCCGTTCCGAATGCGAAGAGTATGGAGATAGCGAGGGCTATCATATTTGGTAAAGGCAGTAAAATCTGCGGAGTCCCACATGAGTCGCACAGAGGTTAATCGTCTTTTATATTAACAAAGAAGTGGAATAGTTGAATACAAGAAGGGTGTATATACCTCGTACTTGTCTCCGGTCTGGCCAACGTGTTAGATATCGCTCATTGCGTGGACGACGAAAAAGTAAGCGTCATCACGTGTCTATTAAACGTCTGCGAGCTCTAGTAACCTAATTTTATATTCCATTTATCGACATCTCGGACTTTCACAGAAAATTCACTGAGGAATGGTATTATTAATAAAACTTGAAATGATCGTTGGTCTTTCTAAGAGTAGGATTTCTCATTACTAGGTAGGATCGACGGTGAAAATGCACAATCACTGGGACCCACCAGCGCCATGTCAGAGAGCAGAAGAGAATGAGAGCTCCTTGACAATCAGCAACCAAAATGTCCTCCTCGGCCGGGAGTTGAACGCGGATTTCGCTTGTGACATAGGCGGATACTAACCACAATGCTACTGAGGACTATACATTCCAGCGGCATACCGCCTCATCGTGGCTGGGAGGCGTTCCTGAGTGTTCGACTGCGCTGTAGAGCTTAGAGATTAATCCCCTCGACAAGGCATCCTAAGCTGAGGAGTTCGGCGTTTCTATAAGCAACGCCGGCTAAGAGTAAACTAGTACCAGGATCCGTCACCGTCGTACCAAACTAGTAGCATGTTTTCAAATCTTTCTGATCCACATGGGTGGTGACCTATGGTGGTGACGACCTAGGGCAGGCTTTGCCCAGGTTGACCTGGGAACTCCAGAGGTCCACAGTACCTAAACCAGGAAAACTCCGAAACGGAAATTGTGCTGAGGCTCGCACAACCACTGAAGACGCACCATTCATGTATCCAAGTATCCAAGTTATGTACCCGAGGGATAATCGTGTTTTCATGAAGCTTTTTGCACTCATTGAATAGTTGTGCTTATAGCCACTGCTTATTTGATAACCAAATACTAAAAGTCCTCATGTTCACCAAAGGAATGAAACCTTGTTGAGTCGATTCTTCAATCGTCAATCTGACCATTGAATTGGATACTTTATGACTCTTATTCACAGTGAATCGTGCAAATTCCACCACGGTTTTTATGTTACTAGTAATTTAGTAGTTCGGCAAGTTCTTTCTTCTTTGACATGTCAAGCTATCCTTGTCGGCGTCTTCCAAAGTTGTCAGCGGCATTCTCCGCCATTGCCGATCAAGCGGTTTTCCTCCTTGCGTCTGGTTTGTCACAAACACGACGGTGATTCTCGCGCTTAGTCAAACAATTAGGATATCTGCTTTACATGAGGAGTCTTGGTAGCTGCTGCTTAAAGTTTACAAAGAAGCTCGACTATCCATAATGTTCACTTTAGAATTAATCATTCATGTTTCTTAGTAAGTAGATTAGTACGACTAGGCGTTTCCATATGATGGTGACGAGGACAGAGTAGAAAGCAAAGGTGCCTCTCGGTATTCCATAAATGTTGTGGAATTTGCTTCAGAATCAGGACAATATTGTTAGTACTCCATTACGCTTGACATGCTCGACGTCTACAAAACTCTATTAGAAGTTTTTTTCTTTTTTTGTTAGGTCGCAGTAGATGTATCCTCACCAGTAAAATTCTACGTGATAGGATATATCGCTCTAGCATTCTCAACAGCAGCGGTTGAATCTAAAAAGTGTAGTAATGAAGTGCTGCTCGACAAAATCTATAGCGAGCGAAAAGCGCATTGAATTCAAAACACGTTGTCCATTCTGCCTCTACATATGCACTGCTTTCATTCTATGCTTAGTATTGATTGAATAACGTTTAAAGCACATTATCGGAAATGAGTTCTAAAGGAACTATCGTACCTCGTCACATGTAGACCTGTCGCTCATTACCAATATATGCATATATATATGTATATATGAAGGATAAAAGGATGGAGCTCTCGGCGTTGATCAATCTCTGAGGGATGCGCCATGCATTATTCGACTTCATTAAGTATCTTTGGAGATGATTGAATGCATATATTGCCTTTACAACGACTCGCGGTGGCCTACCGATGTATCGAGCCAGTGCTACTATCCTCCGAGACAACTCTGGTGCCAACTAGCCGACCCCAAAGGGATGGAAGCTTGGTGGGCGCTCACTAAGAAGCAATTAGTAAGGAGGCCTTCGGCCACAGCGCCACACGTGCCCACATTGAATATGAATATATACATATATGTATATATGCATATGTACGAGGGCGCGTGTGGCGCAATGTTTGGAGGCGCCACTGCGGCGCACACGTGGAATCGATCCCCGCGCCCATGGCTCACCAAACCTTCCATCCCTCCGGGATCGGAAAATTGGTGTCATACTTGCCTGGAATCATAGCAACACTGGCTCGATACATCGATAGGCCACCACGAGTCGTAGTAAAGGTCAGATATGCATTCAATCAACTTCAACGATACTTACTGAAGTCGAATGCATGACGCATCTCTTAGGGATTGATAAACGCCGAAAGCTTCACCCTTTTATCCTTTATATGTATGGAGTGCGTTAGGAAGCTCTGACTTCAACCTTTTGCCCAGAAAGCTATCAATTAGTAAACCTATTGAAGGCATTCATAAAATACATCGACAGAACGTGATGCACGAATTTTCAATTGCAGTATATATGAAGTTTACCAGAAGCATTGAGATGAAATTTAAAAAAAGAACCCGAAGGGATGGGAAGCTTAGCGAGCCACGGGTAGGAGAATAGATCCCACGTGTGTATCACAGGTCGCCTCCGACCACTGCGCCGCACGCGCCCTCATTGGGAGGAAGTATATGAATTAATCGTAACATTCAGAAGTACATGAATTAATGATAATATTCGGCTGGCTTTTTGGTTTTGAATTTCTTAAAGTATGTATACGCATTGTTTAGAACTCAACATCCGAGGTCGAAAACTTTGCGAAACTTCTTTCACATACAAGTTGGGTATGTTGTGCTTGAAGTCCATGAGCAGATTTGTGATATATGTTCCACACTTCAATTACGCCACTAATATCCTTTCTGCACTCATTCATCTCTCTCTGAGCAATTCTTCGGCTGTAAGTTTTCCATTAGTTTTCGATTCAGAGATATGATGAGCTGGATTTGATTAAAATATCTAGGTTGTTTCCGAAGTGTGCAACACCCTGAATCAAGTGTTTCGCGAGGATCTGCATCTGCGAATGTCATTATTTGGTGCTAGAAGTATCGCGTCTTTGGTTAGCAAGCGCAAAGGTTGTGTACCTCCTCAGCTGATTGCTACACTCCTTTCCTTGAACATCAAAGTTTGTCCTTTTCGTTCATCTCACAATGATGCCCAAGTTTTTTCCTTTCCGAAAAGGTCTCTTATAGTATTAGCTGTACGAATCACTATTTAGGAGGTGAAGGATGAGAGCAAGAAATCGAGGAAGAAACTTATTCAAGCGAAAAGGGCTAAATTGAAGAAGGAAAGAGCGAATAAAACTGTGAGAAAGGTATGGCATTTTTAGGCGTTCATATTATCGTCTTATATCACTTTTTTTTCTATATTATCTCTTTATAGTACAAAAAGCAACTGGACAAGCTAGAAGCTGATCTAAAGGAACTGGATGCTGCCGAGAATCTTTCTACGAAATTGAGGACGGTAGTCTAATTCACGAATACTATTATTACATTGACACCTTTAGCCTCCCACTTGAGATTCCCTCTGTGCCCTCGAAAAGCTGTTGGTACCACACCTAATCAGATGATGTTGACCGTGCTTTCAGGCAACTGAGACAATGAGACACGTCTTTCAATGCTATTTTTCGGTTCTCAAGCGAGTGCCAAACGTAGCACTGCTTGAGCCTGTATTAGAGGGTCTGAGCAAATTTGCTCACCTTTTAGGAGTAGAATTTTTTGAAGATATTGTTTCCACTATGGAGAATCTTGTAAAGAGAGAGGTTTGTTGGGTGGCTTTATGTTTAGCGATTACGGTATCTATTTCATACGTCTTCTTCATTATAGGGTCTTCGTCTTCTGGATCGATTATATTGCATCAATACGGTGTTTATTGTTCTGTCTGGAGATGGGCAGCTACTGAATATCGATCCTTCACGCTTTTATCGAACTATTTATCGGTTGATTAATGAACTACCTTTCGAAAGGAAACCAGGTAACATAGCTGTTACACTTTCCAGGCCTATGGTTTTTAAATCCAGTGGAAGAAATCTGGAGTTTTAAGGTACTAATCCCATCACTTACTTACTTGGATACTTGGAGGGCCCATCCTCACTAGTCGTGCAGGCCTTAGCATAATCTCCATTGTTTGGAGTTTTATTGGTTTGGCCATTGTGTTTCCTGGAGTTCCAAGGGCAACCTAGCCAAAGTCTGCTCCAGGTCGTCGCTACCCTTGTGGTTCAGAAGGACATTTCCCACCATGCGACTAGTTTGGTGCCAGGGCGGTGGGGCTTCCTAATGGAAACGCCGGACTCCTCAGCTTGGAAGACTCTGGCAAGGGGATTAATCCCCCCTATACATCGCAATCCGACACCCAGGAACACCTCCCAGCCAAGATGAGGGGTAAACTGATGATTAATTCCATTACGTCAGAATTACTGAAAACTGTGCATTGTTGTTGTTTTATGTCAAATAATTTATTTCGATCGTGTTAATCTGCAGAGTTAGGCGTGTTAATTTGCAGAGGTTAGGAAGAAGCAGGTATGTGTAGCTGCAGCCGTCCTTGATTTGATGGTAAACGATCGCAGAAAACAGGTATTTGAAACAGCTCTTCATTTAAGCCCCAGAAATTCTAGTTGTGATGCTCTTCCTTTGATTGATTCATTATTTCGCTTCGTCATTATCGAACATCCAACATCATCTAGTGAGTATGATTTCTGTCTCCCAGAGCTAACTGACCTATATTTGCTTAAGTTGCCGCTGTCTCGAGTAGCTGCATTTGTTAAACGGGTTCTCTCGATAGCAACTATTATGGACGATCCATCAGCGCTATGTTTGGTTGCGCTCGTGCGAAGTTTCTTCATTGTAAGTTTTCCCTAACTAGTAATGGTTCTTGTAGATGTTGACCCCACTTAACAGATGCTTGTAACAAGAGTTCCGAATATGTTTTTAAAGGCACACCCTAAACTCGTTCAACTGGTAGAGGAGGATGACTTAGAAGGAGGTGCTGGAGGTGTGTTCCGTCCTGACATTGACGACCCGGATGTGTCAAACGCTCTGAGCAGCAATGTCCGTACCGAGCTTAAAATCTTGTCCCGGGTGAGCCTTCACACCTTTGTAAGCGTAGCTTTCAAAATTCTCATAGTTACTGATAGTTCGATTGGTTTCAGCGCCGACACCGTTCGCTGAGTCAGTTTGCTCAAAACGTTCTCCATTCTGTACCATCAACGGGGCCGTTGAGACTCAATCCTCAGCTGACATCTGTGTTAATAAATTTTCTATTATATAACAGTTTCAGTACTGGTATTACGTTGTTGTTGGAGTAAAGGAGAAACATTTTTAGACGGCATTCTCTGTTCAGTTTTGGGGGTGTTTTTGTTTGTTTAACTGCTTCATACTAAATATTTCGAAATGGAAGTGGTAAGATTTTGTTCCAGAAAGCCGTGGATTTTAATGGAGCACGAATTTGAAATGGAAGAGCACTCACTGGACGTTATGAAATACGTTGAAGACATGCGAAAAAATCTGAAGGTACGTGAAACTTTGTAGTAGCATTAGTGACTTTTATTTCCTAGATATTTCTTTTATTGAGTACATCCGCAATAATGATGAGATCTTTGCAAAACTCCGAACCGCGGATGTCTGCGCTGGGGAACGAACGTGCTGTTATCTTTTTCGTTGACAGGTGATTGCTGATGGCACTGGTAGATAGAAAATTAGCCCAGAGACAGGCGAAACAAATGACTCGCATGGTGTGGTGGTGAACGCCTGAGCACCCGGAAAGGGTAACAGCGTGTTCTATCTCCACCGCAGACTTCACATATAATGAGATACACATATGTAGACATATGGTTGAACTTCACATAAAGCTCTACCGTGAAGAATTGTGGTAGGCTGCAAACAAAAAGGTAACGTTTCGAATGTTATTAATGTTTTCTTCAGAAACGTTACTCCTCTGCAGGTATTTCTTCTTGATTCAATGTTTTTGTATTCAAAACCTAGGTGAAAGTGAAGAAGAAAGCCAATGTTCATGATGAGGTGAACCTTTCAGAAGCACCAGGAAGAGCTAACGCCTAAAAATCTACAAGTCCACATAGAAAGCTGGCTGAAAAGTCGATTGCCATAGGAATTTTGTTGAACCATTGAGATTATTTTGTTTCTAGAAGGGTGTTTCTGTTCAGAGCCTTGTTTGTTGTTCTTGTCATTCCATTCTGTTTAAACTCTGCTTTTTGTTGTGAAGGTTGATAATACGCTATGAAGGATTGTGAGAGATCACCTAGTTGTTCTATGTGGATCTGTACGTTTTGTACTGGTTTTCCAACTTGTAAAATGATCCGAATTTCAATTGTTCTGTTCGGAATACCTGTCAACATATTCGCTACGAAACCGGTTTTCCGACAGTAATTTTACAACGGTGAAACAGGAGGACTCTTGTCCTGTAAGCAAAGGTTTATATTCTGATAGTTTTCATTGGATTTAGTAAAATTCACCAGGAGATAGGATACCATTATTTAAAATTAAGAGCGGGCATTCGCATCGCATTGTACAACTCCTATAGAGCTCATATAGTCGAGAATATATTAACACATTAAGACAGACATCGATTGAGCGATAGATGCCTTTCCTATATGGTCTTCCGTTTTTCCTTGACCCCTTGTGTTATGGAAAATAAGGTGGAGTCTATTCTTTTCCAGACCAGTTGAAGCTGGTTCTTCATCGATAGCATACCATGTCGGCAACGGAAGGTGAGCACCCATAGGCTGCCAATATCCATCTTTCCAGAAATAACGGTTTCTGTATAAGTCTCTGTTGAAGCTATTGCAGTAGACATCGTGGACGAAGTAACCACTGCCCCAATTCCTCCAACTATTGGCTCTACTTAATTATATGGGCAATCCTGACACTATATGTATTTTTATGGGAGTTGCTTCCTTTTTTCTTCAGACTATACGAGTCCGTGATGCCAGAGTCCGCATTAGGTAGTGTTACCACACTAACGTACATGCCTCTATGTACGGATCGTCATCATAGGCTTTTCCGGCGTAGAATGGAAGTTGGTTTTCAGCAACATAGTCTCTCTATGTGCCAGCCATTGAGATCCAGAATGCTGGATAATGTATTGCCACCATGAAAGTATAAAAACGAGTGGCAGTAGATCAACAATCGTCCTACATAAAATGCTGTCGTGTCGTAAGGATACTTTATTTAACGGTGCCCCGGACCAGAAGACTCGACTTGGTGTGACGATGAAGACCTTTTTGGCGAGAAGAAATGGCTCCGGGCAATGGAATCGAATCACTGCTGTTCTGGAGAAGGTAAAGACTCCGAAATATTAGCCATAATAAAGTTTTTATGTACCATCTTTATATGGGCTCAATAATCCAGTGAGGTGTCATCATGGTCATTGGAGCGTTAAGCAGCGTAGCATAACCCTTGTATTTTAGCAGCGTCTCTGTACTGTAGAAGAGCAGTTAGTGTCGTCAGTGTGTTAAACAAAGATTCACAGTAAATAATATATTTTTTGTACATTCAAGTGGTGAGCTTTTCAACCTCACCTTTCAACCGCATTTCAATGCAGTGTAATGCTGTTTACAGTACTTCGCATTGTTTCCTCACTCGTCGTTGTGTTATCTCTACCATTCTCCACATATTGTGTTTTTAAGCTCCGTAAACTTGGAATCCTTCTTGAAGTGGATAGGTGGAGTGGATAGTGATGCAGTCCGTGAGGCAGAAAGACGCTGGTTTGACCACCCTAACGCTCTGCTCTAATCCACGTGGGAACGGCATAGCACGGCTATGTCCAAGATTGCACTGAAAATTGACTCGACCAGCGTTCCACTACATTCATAAGGAAGAGGAAATGCTTAGGAAGCTTCTGAAACAACACGCGAAATGTTGGAGCACCTTTGTGAAGGATGAAGGCGAGGAAAACGAATCGATTACAAGCAGTGCTGTTATCCACACAGTTGTGATATGGGGTCATGGAAAAAGGAAGTAAAGGAAAGTAATTTATAATTCCATGTCCTTCGTTACGATGTACACATCTTTCCACTTTGTTTTCCTTTCACGATGAGCTGCGAGGAATCTAATATGCTTCATATCTAGGTCAACCCGTGAAAATCCTACGAAAAAGGGAACCAGATGCTTAACTAATAGGAAACTAGTTCACATAGTTGGCAAACATAACGATCCACAGTTTCCTATCAAGGTCTTTTCTATTCCGGAGAAAACCAGTGTGTGGTTTTGGTCACCAATTGGTAATCGAAAATAGTTCCATCCCGATTCATAAGGTATTCGTGCTAGAACAATCCCAAACCGTTACCACAGACCGTCACTATAATCACCAGTTTTTCTGGATGAGGAGAGAGGTTTCCTGTAGTTCGGGTCTTCCTAAACGGCGGTGACACCGATGAAAACAGCGGATCTTGAAAGACCGACGATTGGACTTGCAAGAAATTGGATCTATGCTCTCATTCGAACTAACATGTGAGGAAATCGAACGTCACAATTCTTCAGCCAGAAGAAGCGATATATATTGGTGGTATAAAGTAATCGCTTCCTTCAGCGCATAGGTCATACATCTCTGTAGCATATATTGAAAGCTGTGTTGGTAGTTTCTATATTAAGCAGTGTAAATACCCACAATAATACGCTATTTTGATCAACATTTCAAGCTCACGGGCGTCAAAAACCCGTTGATGGGCGGGAAGCTCTAACTACATTGTTCACGAACATTCGCATTGCCTTCAATGCATATGTTCCCGAAATTGATTGCACCTTCCAAATATTACCAAGTTTAGTGATTGTTGCCAAGACGACACAAGTTCTTTTATTCTGTTAAGATAAAATTCCGATTTTCTGCCGTGTAGAAAGCGTATTTCCCCCTTTTTCCATGAACGCTTCATACATTTTTGTCATCGCAATGAACAGCTGAGCAGATATGATTTCGTTAGGACGAACGATTTAATTTTTTCAAATTCATTGTTAGTGCCTGTAACTGCCGTATTCGTGCTAAATTCTTTGATGTAGATGAGAAACGATTTTGATAGGTACCTCCTGTGAGGTAAAGCCGACTCTCCTATGGCGCCATTACAATCGAAAAACATGGAGAAAAGGACTGAATGCTATGTATGAATGTTATCTTGACCATTTTATTTCGGTGTTCGTGAGCTTTGATTCGAAACATATTTTTCAACGTTAGCTGATATGAAGCATAGAAGGTGCAAAGGTTTTCGAACTGGTTTGTGCAGCTTTGGTGGATTTTTGGACAGATATTTTGCTATGGTTCATATTTTCTGGCAATAATATGGTTATAATCGGAGCGTATTGAAACAGTAAGCCTGCAATAGACAAGGGATCGATTCCCACTCCCCTGACCCACCAAGCCCTCTATCCCACCGGTGTCGGTAAATTGGTACCAGACTTGTCTGGGAGGAGAGCAGCACTGGTTCGATATGTCGGTAGGCCACCGCGAGTCATTGTAAAGGCAAGATAGGCCAGATAGGCATTTAGTCACCTCCAACGATGCCTGGTAAAGTCGAATGCATAGCGCATCCTTGAGGAATTGATCAACGCCGAGAGCTCTACCCTTTGTTTTCATTGTTGAAACGGCTAGTAGATAAAACTCCAAGTGCAAATAATTAGGAAGTGTTTTTGCAAGATTGCATCTCCAGTTGCTGCTATCGTTCTGTAATGTGATGACAATAGTAGTTCGGCGTATTGTACTACTCATTTATGCAATCTTGATTAACAGTTCGTATCTAATCTTATCACTTTTATCAGTCCTTTTTCATCTTCAACGTAAAGATATTTCGGAAACAATACAGGCAGGAATAGATAGAACCAAAGACTATGAATTCAATAATAATAATTAGAAAAATCGCAGAATCAATACTATAGTATTGTAGCGCGTTCAGATTCCTTCCGTAGATGTCAAGATTGTCGATTTTACCGTGTCGTATTGAGAAGTCCACGGTTGACAGAAGTCGTTCTCGTACTGGAAACGGCTTTTTGCTCATCAATGAAGCCAGCCTCTCGGCTCGACGAGTAAAACTGTAAGTGTGAATTAAGTTAAGCTTAAGAAAGTTAAGCTATCAGCAAAAATGCAGAGTGAGAACAAAAACCTGTGTCACGGAAAACAAATAGAGATGGATGATTTCCCTATAACAGCTTTCTATTAACCTCAGCACTGATAGACAGATAATTCACTTTTTCACAACGAGCTGATACGAGGTTGTTACTACAGCATTTACTAATACACAAATAGCTGACGCTTGGGCGGTTTCACCTTCTTTAGAGCTTGGACAGGTCAAATTGACATATATTCTACTCAGGCAAACACCTCCGTAACCTCAGCAGATAAAACTTAATACGCAAATTTTACTCCAATAATAAAGAGCTTCTATCAAATAGTCAACTCTCGAAAGGGTAATCGATCTCAACTGAACTTCCGCGTTCTGCTCATATCTCAGCTTGTTTGTGGTTTTAGGATAAATAGAAGATAAAGCTCTCGACTTTGATCAATTCCTGAGAGATGCGCCATGCATTCA